TGCATGGCTGTGCGTGCGTGCAGATGGCCTATGCGTATGGCAAGACATGCACTAGCCACGAGTTCTTCAGTTAGCCTAACTTCAATGAGGCACCTATGTTGGACCTTGGTGCCTTCATTCTCTTCCTCTTGTATGGTGCCAATTCGATGTTGCACATATTTCTCCATGGCTCCTTGAAGCGTTTTGGCCAGAGCTCTAGTGATTGGTCCTTGAGGTAAGCTTAGTGGCTTTGTAATCACATCATCTCCTCCTTCTTGAAAAGGATTCGTCCTCGAATCAAGTTCTTCACCTACATCAAAAAGAGTCAAGTCAACAACATTAAAAGTGATACTAACACTATACTTACCATGGAGATCGATTTTGTATGCATTGTCGTTGATCCTTTCAATCATTTGAAAGGGTCAATCTCCTGTAGGATTGAGTTTGAAGCTTCTTTAATTTGGAAACCGTTCTTTCCTAAGGTTTACCCAAACCCAATCTCCTCATTGAAATCCCACATGCTTCTGGTGTTGACTGGCCTTTGAAACAACCTTGTTGTTATTCTTTTCGATCATTTCCTTCACTTCCTTGTATAAGGAGCGCATGAGATCCACCTTGCTTTCAGCTTCAAAACTAGAAAATTTGTTAGGTGGCATAGGTAATAAATCAAGTGGAGTTAAAAGGATTGAAACCGTATACTACCTCAAATCGCGAACAATGAGTAGTGCTATGTATTGCTCAATTGTATGCAAATTCCACAAATGGCAAGCACTCCTCCCAATTCTTCAAATTTTTATCTATGATCGACCGAAGTAAAGTAACCATGATCCTATTAACGACTTCGGTTTATTCATCCGTTTGTGGGTGACAAGTTGAAAATAATAATTTTGTTCCCAAGTTCCCCCATAATACCTTCCAAAAGTGACTTAAGAACTTAACATCCCTATCACTAACAATAATTGGGGGAATGTCATGTAACTTAACCACTTCTTTAAAGAATATATTTGCACTTGTTTGGCATCATTAGACTTTAAAGAAGGAAAAAAATGTGTTATCTTGCTAAATCTATCCACCACCACAAAAATACTATTCTTACCTCTTTTTGATCTTGGTAACCCTACCACAAAATCCATAGATATATCTAACCATGGTGCTATGGGAGGGGGTAAAGGTGTATACAACCTATGCGGCATAGTTCTAGACTTGGCTTGCTTACATGTTATACAAGTTTCACATACCTTATTGACATCATGTCGCATTTTCGGCCAAAAGAAATGTTCGGTAAGCATATCTAACACCTTGGCAACTCCAAAGTGATCTATAAGTC